TCAATTGCAGCCAAGAAACTAATTTACTTGAATCATGCTTTCATTTTGTTTTAGTTGAGTGCTATTCTGACAGTCTGTGTGCGACTGGAGTTTTAGAAATGGGTTCCAGTTTATTGCGCCGCTGTACCACAGTTGAATTTGATGGACTTGGTGGTTTCTTTTACTCTGATGTGGAAGGGTGTAATAAACTTTACATCCACTATTACTAAACTCTGTAGTATGCATATGTGAACGCATAAAAAAAAATAGGGTGTTCGCCACATTATAATATTTCCCTGTGTACAATCCCATACGTAGAGCGCAATGCGCGTTGCGCGTAATGCTCTCGCGCGGTTCTGGTGTGGCTCATCGTCGCCATATCGCGCATGCAAATTCTCTATTCGTTGTACTACATAATTCATTCACAAATTCAAACTTGTCCCTGTGTGTCATAGCCCCAATTTTTACTTGATGCGCTCACATGTATGCATTTTCTGTCTTACTGCTTAACTTTGTTTTTCACCACAACATGCACCAAGGTGTTGTATTATGACAAAACGAACCTTAACGTCCAATATGCAGATGAGCATTGATGCGATCTGATCCCACCAAAGCAATTAAACTGTAAGTATCGGAAGTTTTACATGAATGGTGAATATGGGATCCAGCATTTCCTATAGTGCTTCTTTACTGATGCATCTAGTCCGTGAGAGCAAGAGACGAGTATATTATTATAGCTAGTGACTTATTAACCCTCGGCGCGCATGCGCAGCGAGGGTTACGGTAGTCGTTCTGTGTGAGTGAGTCTGTCTGTCTGTCTGTCAGCAGCTATTCTCCCACTAGGCGGCCCGTGAGCGATACCAACGTCTTCAGAACTACGCGAGCCAGGAACACTATTAGGCGTTTTTCCTGAAACGACTGCGTTCGAGAGATAGCTATGCTGTGAAAACAAGCGAAAAAGCCAATACGCATAATCGTGGGCTTACTGCGACCTGATCCGCTCGCTCTGTGTACCTTCTTGGGGGCTCAGGAAGTCACAACGAATAGCATGTATCGACTCCCGCATGCTATCTACTACTGTAACTATCCCGTGTCAGACTCTCCGCGAGCTACTAGTGGAAGACCGCATACAAATAGACCAGCCTATCAATTAGCAGCATTGCGCATGCGCAGTTGGCCGAGGGTTTGCACTTTAATTTTTTGTGTGTACTCTATAGTGGGCATCTGTGCATGTAGCTATGTGACATTCTTGCATCAATTACAGCTAGTTAATTCTTCAGAATCATGCTTTCATTTCCTTTCAGTTAATTGCCGTTCTGACAGTGAATGTGAGGCTCGAGTTTTAGGTACAAGTGTCAATGTTGAGGGATGCTGTAACACAGTTGATGATGGTGGACTTGGTGCTCTCTATTACTCTCTATTTGGAGTGTGTACGAGGTGTCCAGGTATACAACCAGAGTAATATTATGTATCATTATACACCTGACAGGCATAGTGAACCTACTGTGGAATGCAATGCGAGTAATCGCGAGCAGTTTAATGCCTTTTGCACATCACGTATATAGAACATTATGTGCAGTGCCAGGCAGAGGTGTCACATGAATTGTTCTATCAATTCCAGCTAGAAATTGATCCTGGCAGTATGAGTTTTCGTCTGGATAATTCCTTACAATTGTGTTTTCATCTTCTTTCAGTTACTTGCTATTCTGACAGCGAATGTGAGGCTGGAGATTTAGGTGTGAGTGACAGTGTAGAGGGATGCTGTAACTCAGTTGATGATGGTGGACTTGGTGCTCTCTATTATTCTGATGCAGAAGGGTGTAAGAAGTGTCCAGGTAATAAACTTTACACTCACTATTTTTAACCCCCAGTAGTATGCATATTATAATAATTATGCATTTTTGGTCTTTCTGCTGTTTTTCACCACAACATGCACCAATGTGTTGTATTATGACAAAACGAAGCTTAAACGTCCAATATGCAGATGAGCATTGATGCGATCTGATCCCACCAGATCCCATTAAACTGTAAGTATCGGAAGTTTTACATGAGTGGTGAATATGGGATCCAGCATTTCCTATAGTGGTTCTTTACTGATGCAGCTAGTCCGTGAAAGCAAGAGACGAGAATGTAGCTAGTGATTTTTCAATTTTCTCTGTACTCTCAAATTTAGCTTAGTGTGCATCTGTGCATGTAGCTACGTGACATTCTTCCAACAATTGCGGCCTATATACTATTTTCATTTCTTACAATCATGCTTTCATTTCTTCTCAGTTATTTGCTATTCCGACTTGTGTCAGAATGAAGTTGATACACGTGAGAGTGTTGAGGAATGCTGTTACCCAGTTGATGGTGGTGGACTTGGTGCTCTCTATTACTTTGATGGGGAAGGGTGTATGAGGTGTCCAGGTATGTACTACTGTACATGCATGAAAATAATGTGCAACAAATCTCTTTTCAGATATAAATGAATGTGAAGTGGACGAAGAAGACATCTGTGTTAATGGAATATGCACAGATAGAACTGATTCAGATGGTTTCTATGAATGCGATTGTTTTACGAATTATAAGCCAGCTGGAGATCCTGCTACTATGAGTCTCACTTGCATTGGTAGGTTTTTAGCATTATACAATAAATATTATGTACAACTGCTTAGATGTCATAATTAGCATGCTCTACAAATTGTATCCTATGCAGACAATAGAAGATTTCTTACTTTCTTTTGAAGTAGTGGGAGCAATAGATGCTCCAGCCTCAGTCGTTTCTTATCGCTGCTGGTAGCTTTAGCTGACTTACACCATGCCAAATGCATTTTTGTAGCGATCGGGATTATCTTGAGCGTGTCCTTGGAACTATCAGCAGATGCCTCGAGTCTGTCCTTCTATATACAGAAAAGAGAACACTTTGGATTACCTGTCAATCTATAATATAGCGACTGAAAAACTGTTAAAGTACTTTAAGTTGCCCACTACATTAATACAACAAAATGTGCTAATCTGCTTTATTTCTTCTTAGATATCAATGAATGTGAGGATTTTGATAATTTCTGTGGATTGGGCGTGTGCCAAAACTCCGTTGGTGGCTATACCTGTATCTGTGATGAAGGAGCTAAACCCAGAGACTCTGATGAACCTCCTATTTGTATTGGTATGTTCTGTAATCTAGTCATGGCCACATTCAGGTCTTGTTAACAAAACTGCATTCTACCGTCATTACTGACATCCACTCTGGTGAAGTACAGGGAGATAGCTAATGGTGTGGAAAATACAATGAGCTCACCGGGTGCAGGGTTTTTAGAACTTGTAAGATTCCGGGGGAGCCAAATAAGATATGACAGTGTGAAGTGAAGAGACAAAAATAATTGCATTCTTGCACTGGGCCTTATTAGCTATCAAACTTTCAACTTATACAAGTGGAAAAATCATTTCTTCAAAATGAAGGGGGTTGTAGGTATGGCATAAATTATGAATAATGATATATTATAGCTACCAACAAGAAATATGCTTCAGCTGAAAACAAATATCATACATATATCCCTACATCTTTCTTTCTTTAGCTCTGTCGAAGAATGTGTGGTTAACAAAACTGCATTTTACCATCATTACTGACATCCAGTACAGGGAGATATATTATAATGGTGTGGAAAATACAATGAGAATGAGCTAACTAGGTGCTGGGCTTTTAGAGCTTCTTCTGAAATATTTCGGGGGGAGCCACATAAGAAATATAACAGTGTAAAGTGTAGAATCCAAAAAATAATTCTTACATTGGGCCCTATTATCAACCTTTCAGATATTATGGTCGCAGTCCTTTCAACCATCGACTGTCTAAACTACATTCAGTTTTTCTGGCTTTACTGCTGTACTTCTCCATTGCAGACATTGATGAATGTGAAAACAGTCGTATCTGTGCTTTTGGTAAATGTGTGAATATTTTGAATGGTGACTTTTATACCTGCAAATGTGAGGATGGATGTGAAATGACAGGAGATGCCAGCACTGGCAGTCTGAGGTGCACTGGTGAGTTTTAGCGTAAAGAAAAGGTCGACCATGTTTGTGCCTTTCTGATTCAGATGTTAACGAGTGTGCAATTGATGAGGATGTTTGTGGCGGAGGAATATGCTTCGATCTTCCATTTGGTCTTTACTACTATTGTTTCTGTGATTATGGGTATAAAATGACTGGAGATCCTAGTACAATGAGTAGAACCTGCAAAGGTAAGAATAGTGTAAAATACAGAGGAGAGTGGAAGTATAAATGCTAACCTATATTTCTCGCATCATAATGTTAACGAGATAAGTAATTCAATGCTAGGCAATTCCAAAAGCTCCGAACATTATATAAGCTATAATACTCCTGCCTGCATGTATGTACGGTATCTTTGCTAGCCAGAACAATTCAGAACATTCACTTACAGTTCGGATAAGTTGAATAACTCTCACATGCAGCAAAGGAGGAGGATGACTGTTCCAAGAGTAGGTCCTCCAAGAAATCGAAATCCAGCAGAAAGAAGAAGAAGAAGAAGAAGAAGAAAGGATCTCGTAGCAGATCTACTATAAAAGAAGGCACGGGGATAGCTAAGTACTAAGAAACTATCATGATCATGACTTATAAGACACTAGATGTGAGGTAGACAGTTGTAGTAACCCTCAAGTAATTGTACCACAGTTGTAGTAAACTCATGTTATACACAATCAAGGCTCAGTCCGATAGACAACCAGAGACGCTGCCATCTCGCAGTTCATCATTGCTTCCGTGGTCTAATTTTTTATGATTGCAGCAAAGACTGTCTGTGCTGTGCACAGAGAAGAGCCGCCACAGTAGCACTGAGAAATCAGACCAAGCCCCACGGCATAGAAAGGGCTGAGTGCACTGACAACCTGTTTCCTCTAAAACCACTTACCCAACTTGAAAAGTTACAGCACTGGGCTCGCTAGCGGATCAACCAGGCGTACGACTCATGTGCGCGTGCGCATGAGCAAAACGCGGTTGCCATGGGGTTTGTTTGCGCGGCGCCTCCGCCCCTTCAAACACCGCTGCGATCCTCGAACAGCAGACGCGACGACCGATCTCACGAGCTGCACCATGATGGTAAGTATAATAGGACCCAAGTCACTGTCACACTAAACTATCAATCTCCAGTTCAGGAATGTGCAGGAGGAAGAGGAGAGTGAGAGTGACTGGGATGACCTAACTCCCCACATCTCCCCCCACCATCAGCCACGCCCACCTCCACTCAACTCGCCCTCTCCACAGCACCTCTCACCTCCTCCCTCCTCCACTTCCTCACACACTCTCATTCAGGTAAATGTAGCATCCAAAGTGACTTACTTATTATTCCGTGTAGTGTGTGTGGAGTTAGTCAGTCAGAGCCTGGAAATGGTTTACAATTTCAATGAAGAGTGTCCTCATGCGCAAGATTGGTAGCATGGCTCTATACATGGCTCTAGGAGCCACTCTCTGACGTGCTTGTACTATCAGGAGACAATTTTGAGTGCCTTTTGTGTGTTGGATATTGTGTTCTAAAAAACAACTGCATAGTATATATGTTACCAAGAATCTTCCAATTTTCAAATGAGCAAAAATATCACACCAGTGACTATCTGTTTTTTCAGCCGGAGAAATCTTTATCTGCACTACCCACCGGTGCATCTCGACCTGAGATACGAAAGGTTCGAAATCTCATTGACTCTTATCAAATTAATAATTTGTGCCGCTGTAGGAAAACGGTACTGATGAAGCAGAGTTTGATTCGTTATCTGCACGGCAAAATCCTGCGACACCCTCACCATTACAGAGCTCAATACCTCAGCTATTACCACACTCTAAATACACTCTCACCACTTCTCCTGCCTCGCCAGTAATACCCCCTCCGTTATCCACCACTCAACTACCAATTACTCAGGGTGATCCCCCTTTACACCCAACACCGCCACTTACAGTTGCAGGGAGGAGAGATGAGAGCCCCATTGATGTACAAGCTGACGATACTGTTGTTCCTCATAAGCAGTAAGTATGCTGTTTAACACAGCTCCATATTAACTGAACTGGACGTTAATTTTATCACTTTACAGTGGAATGTTTGAGTTTGGTATGATTGTGGATAGTCGTCAACTGCATGCGATGATAGAGAGTGCGAAGAGAGAGCGAGAGAACAATCATGCTACAGTCATGGCTGGATTGGCCGACAGGTAAAAACAACTATACATTTCTTAATTGAAGGGTACACTACTGTTTTCTCCTACTACCGTTCAAATTTGTATCCAGCCTTGTTTATCACCGCATTCATTACCCCCACTACACCCTCTTTATCCAATTTGAGTGTTTGACCACTCACAGGACCCAAAGCATGACCCAACTCACTGCTTCAGTTATCGTAACACATGTGTGAACTATTACGAGTTACTAACACAAAGGCAAAACAAACAAGTCAACTACATACAAATAGTTGGAAACGGTCACATGAATTGTGAAGAATTTCAATTACAATGTACGGCAAACCGGGCGTTTAGCATTGACCTCTTCAGTTTATGGCCTAGTTTTGTGGTGCAAAAGTTGACGAGGATGCACTTGGAAATTTTGCAGACAGCTGTAGAAAGAATGGAAAAGAGGTAGAGTAGTCTGTATCTTATGCTGAGTTGCCAATGTGAGTGCCACGAAGCTTCTAGTATTTCTCACTGTAACTCGACAGGACCATACGGGTTCACTGGGGTTCATCGGCTTTCCCCGTGAATGCTTCTAGAGAACACCTTGAAGGAGTAGAATTATCATGCATGCGTATGTAATTTTACTTACCGGTATTACATCATTATTCTAGAACTTTCTGTAGTCATGTCATCTGTACTGTGATTGGTCAGTAGCACGTGGTAGGACATGGGTCGTCAGCCTGAGAGTTTGGTATCATGTGTCAGTGTGTCTGTCGCCGATCGCGTCTGTGTGTCACAGGACGGCGCCTGTATCCTCATTATTTTGCTAGACTGCGCAGCAGCACTATCACACACCTATTCAACTCCAAACTTGTTTGATCCTTGCTTGACTTCGATTCAGTGAGGCTTTTGTATCCACCATACATTCTCTACGAGAGAGAGATTGCTGACTTAGCAAAAAAAATTGCAACTCGTTACATATCTATGACACGTGTCCAACCTCCTCTGACACATACATAACGGTTAAACACTATCTTCCCTAACTGGTAACATACACTTTTGACTATGACACTTGAACACTCATCCAACTAGCATGATTTCTGACAATATAGACTGGAATTTTAACAAAGAGTGATGTGTGTAACCAATCCAGGTCAGAGAAGATATTACGTCGAGTGTTTCAAGAGTTCTTCTCCTGCCTTCGTCTCTGTACTGACATATTCATAGTCTTCATTCTAGAGTGTGCCCACTGCATTGCCTTCCACGTCCTTCGCAAACTCCTCTGTGGACTCCTCTTCACCTGTCTCTCCTCTCTCTCTGCTCCCGGACTAACAGACTGCTACAATGTCGTGGTGTGGCCTCTGGCTCTCTGCTGTCTCCAGGTAGTCTATAATGACAGAGAAATTTCTTAGCTAGGTACTATTACTTGGTGTGTGAATATACAGAGTGTGCCCACTGCATTGCTGTCCAGGTACGTCGAGCAGGAGTGTTATGTGTAGAGTGTCTTGCTACAGTAAAAAATGAGAGATAAAATTTCTTACAATTATAGGTATTCTTTAAGGAGTAAATGTGCCAGTATGTATGTCATTTTAGAGTGTGCCTACCACTGCATTGCTGTCTCCAGGTCTGTCGAGCAGGAGGGTTGGTTCTGGGTCCGTGTGTGGAGTGTCTGGGTTGGGCCGGGAGATGGTGCTGGAGATGGTGACTGCCTTCAAACCAGTCAACATAGTCTTGACAGGACAGAGGAACCCACATTCACAGTCTCAGAGATCATTGCAATAGACCAATATCTATTATAATTATATACCCTATGTGAATGATGTATAATAGCTATCAGTATACTTTCTCCAATGCACATTTTTCTATTCCTGGACTTTTAGAGACAAAAAAGACAAAAAACAAACAACAAAAAAAAAAAAAAACCAAGGATAATAAGCATGGGGGTTTAGACCACGCCATCCAGAATGGGAGCAGCTGGGGCGGGCATCGGCGGATCGTTTACACGCCAGAGAGAGATGGCATGCCTTTGAAATGAGTCAATGGGGCTGTAATTTGGTGATGCAAATTCCCGCGCAGGCAGGCGCACGTGAGGGTCTGGGTGCGATGTTCACGCGCATGCGTATACTACTAGTAGGCGCGGGAGAATGAATGTCTCAGTCACTTGGCATCGATGAGTAATAAGAATGCCATGAGATTTCTCTCGCCAACGCGTAAATTCGCACGAAGTGCCTAACCCAAACGCATGTGCAGTACAACGACGATGTCGATTTCAGTCCAACTTTTTGCCACTCAAAATGGCGCCTTCGCTATGTTTATCGTATATACGTCATCGCTTACAGCAAGCAATACAAAATAACACCGTGTCCGCTAAACAAGGCAGATTGCTGGTAAGTGGAACGCTCTCTGCGCAACGTCAACACGGCAATAAGTACACAAGAGGACACTCTCAGGCGGCCAAGTTAGTAACAGGTAGGGATGGCTGCGGGGCTCCGCGCGATGATATCCGGGGGGAGGTCTGTGTCCTGGTCTACGGAATCATCAGGTCATCTGTGCTGCATGTGTGTCAATGTGGAACGAAGTGAGTGCAATATCGTTTCCCTCCTCTTTAAGATCGTCCTTGGTGTCTAGAGAGAGTATGCAAATACCTACAATATGCTGTGGTGGAGACACAGAGCGATGAGCACGTTGCCGAGTAGCGAGATGTTAACACA